GAAAAGATTAATATAAAAAAAATAAAAAATAAAAGTCCGAATTTAGGATTCCTTTTTGGAAGAGGGTATTTTTGTCAATCCATTTTCCAACGTCTTTAGTCAAAAAAAATAGCCGTTGTGCCGCTCTCAGAAAACCTAGACCTTCCTCGGGGAGAATTTTTTCTATAAACTAATCATTCGAAGAAGACAACTGCAAACCCTAGACTACCAGCATCACAATCCCTATATAAGCCCGTCCACTCAGTTTCATTCTTCAATCAAATCTTGCTCGAATTCAACATTGCCAAGCTCTATCCTTTCGCGCGCTCTCATCCCCTGTTTCTAACATTTTCTATTGTTTTCTTTAATTTTGTTAAATATTGATTTTTTGTTTTGCTGCAGGTGTTAGAGTTTGTATTTTTTTTTCCTTTTTTTTTTATTTTGAAATTTCTTGCAGGATCTTTCTTTTTGGCTATTTGCATTTCGTATTTTTTTGGTATATAAAGTTATGGATGCAGGATCTTTGAATTCTTCTTCAAACTTGAAGGGACAATCTAGGTACCCACTTCAAGAACAACTTCTTCAGAGAAGAAATTCTAAAGAAAATGTGAGAAATTGATTGATAAATCTAGGTTTTTGCTTTTTTGTTCTTGATTTGTGGATTTTCCTCCCAATTTAGGGCTTTTCCCCCCTGCTCTTTGATCCCAAATTCTGGGTTCTGCTTCTTTTATTCTAAAAGGGATTCCTTTTTTTTGGGTTCTACCAGTTGGACAGGTTCATACCAAACCGTTCGGCAATGGATTTTGACTATGCACATTTCATGCTAACGGAAGGGATGGAAGGTAAGGAAAACCCAGCAGTGATCTCACCGTCCAGGGAGGCATACCGGAAGCAGCTGGCTGAAGCACTCAACATGAATAGGACACGAATCCTGGCTTTCAAGGACAAACCACCAACGCCTGTTGAACTGTTCCCACACCAGCACTCCTCATCTTTTAACCCTGTGAAATCTGCAAAGTCTCGGAGGAACATCCCTCAGGTGTTTATATTCATCTATATGTAGTTTTTACCTTCAATTATCTCCAGTCTTATAAACATTAACGAGTTTTGAATTCAACAATTAAGAAGAAATTGAATCTATCTGTTGATTAGCAAGTTTTTTGGTGACGTTTTCTGTCTTGCAAGATGGGATGCTTGAACAGGAATGTTTTAAAGATGAATGAAGATTTTGACAGTGAAAAATAGTCACATTCTGAATTTTCTTTCATTTGATTTTCTTTTACAGACTTCCGAGAGGACATTAGATGCTCCAGACCTTGTCGATGACTTTTACCTCAACTTGTTAGATTGGGGTAGCAGCAATGTTCTCGCAATTGCTCTTGGCAACTCGGTGTATCTGTGGGATGCTTCAAATGGTTCTACATCAGAACTTGTCACTATTGATGATGAAATTGGTCCGGTGACAAGTGTGAATTGGGCTCCTGATGGTCGGCATATTGCCATTGGGTTGAACAATTCTGAAGTACAGTTATGGGATTCTGCTGCTAACAGACAGGTTTGTTATGAATCTTGTGGTTTTCTTCATCAAATTTTGACTACAGCTTTTTTGGTTCTAGCGTTTTGTTGGATATAGCACTGATGATGAATGAATATATTTCTGATTTTTACAGCTGCGTACTCTGCGAGGTTGTCACAGATCACGGGTGGGATCTCTAGCATGGAACAATCACATCCTAACAACTGGAGGGATGGACGGTCAAATAATCAACAACGATGTCAGAATCAGATCACACATTGTTGAAACATACAGAGGTCACCAGCAGGAGGTCTGTGGATTGAAATGGTCACCCTCGGGACAACAATTAGCAAGTGGAGGAAACGATAATGTCATTCACATTTGGGATAGATCCGTGGCATCTTCAAATTCAGTGACACAATGGCTTCACAGGCTGGAGGATCATACTTCTGCTGTAAAAGCCCTTGCTTGGTGTCCTTTCCAGAGCAATTTGCTAGCCTCTGGTGGAGGTGGAGGTGATCGGACCATAAAGTTCTGGAATGCACATACGGGTTCTTGCTTGAATTCAATTGATACGGGCTCACAAGTATGTGCTTTGCTGTGGAACAAGAATGAGAGAGAGCTTCTTAGTTCCCATGGTTTCACTCAAAATCAGCTTACTCTCTGGAAGTATCCATCTATGGTGAAGATGGCAGAGCTAACTGGTCATACATCTAGAGTACTTTTCATGACCCAAAGTCCTGATGGTTGCACGGTAGCAACTGCTGCTGGAGACGAGACCTTGAGATTCTGGAATGTTTTTGGTGCCCCAGAAGTTTCAAAGCCTGCTCCAAAGGCAAACCCTGAGCCATTTTCTCACGTGAATCGTATCCGGTGATAAGTTACGAGAAGATGAACTGGCTTCCGCATCAGTCCCATTTCATGAGCCACAATGGATTCTGTGTGGAACTCTTGCTATTTGATCTTTCATATGAGATTTATTATTCTTTTAATGTATGCGTTTGGAATATCTCTTATATTCCGATTTAATAAAAAAAAATTTATCCCTTAGTTGGAAAATTATTTAATATGGTTAAAATGTATTTAGTTGTTTTAATTGTATTAAATTATAAGACAATAATTATTGAATAATGAAGAGCGTGTGTTAATGAATTCATCTTTTTTGTTTAATAATTTATATTTTATAATTTTAAAAATATCAACTAAGTTGAGATATAGAAATTATTAAAATACTATTAATAAATATTATGTTTTACATCCACGACAAACTTTTATTTTTTTAAATATATTGTAATTATTTACAGGTTAATTAAGAGATGGGAAGAAAGAGTTTCCGTTGAATATATTGTAATTATTTACAAGTTAATTAGGGGATGGAAGGAAAGGGTTTCCTGAAGTTCGAAAGTACAATTCATGGGAGTTCATGAGAGATTCGAAATTTACAAAAATCCTTTCTCTTTATCCCTCAGTTAACTTATAAGTTAACTTATAAATAATTATAATATGTTCAAAAAAAAATAAAAGTTGTTTTATTAATAAAAGTGTTTTTGTTAATTTAAATATCTACAGCTGCATTTTGGGCAGTTGGTACTGAAAAAACATTTTCGAAAAATTAAACCATTGAAGGCCCAACCCACATGTCATTGGCACTGAAAGTGGGCCCACCTCAAAGCCCAAAATACAACAAAATGGGTAAAATCCGACGCCAATTTCAGTTTTTCCATTTTGTTGTGCGGCTTTGCTTCCGACGGGATCGCCGGAGCAAAAATCCCAACACGGTACTTGAAGATAAGCCGTGGAAGAAGCATAGAAATGAATTCATCCATGATGCTCCGTCGTTTCTTCTGCTTCAACGCCGCATCAACGCCGGCAGCCTCTTCCGCCTCTACTTCCAAGAAGAAACCACTTGTCTTCTTGGGCTCTCCTCAGGTACGCATATATGAATGCAAACTTCTACTGTTTACACTCCCAAACCGTAAGCACTCGTTGGTTCTTTCGAAATGGCTTCTATGCAGGTGTCTGCCACGGTCCTAGATGCTCTTTTCAATGCAGCTGCTGCTCCAAACTCCTCTTTTGAGGTACTGAATCTGCAATGCTCTTAAGACTTTTTTTTTTTTTTTAAAGATATGTAATAGTGGTTTATTTTAGTTGTTAAGGTTCTCCTAAAGGAGATAATGCATAATGAGATATATTGATGGTTGGCTTAATTTGATACTTTGGGTTTTTTTTTTAAAGACCATTTCGTACCTGTTTTCCCCAATTTGTTTTCAGAAGGGAATTTCTGGAATTAAATGATGTTAAAGTAACAATGTAGGGGTAATAGCAAGAATTTTGTTGTGGATTGATAACTTGTGTTCTTTAGGTTGCGGCAATCGTTACTCAACCATCTTCTAGAAGAGATAGGGGTAGAAAGGTGATGCCTTCACCTGTGGCTGAATATGCCCTGGATCGAGGTTTCCCTTCTGATCTCATTTTCACTCCTGAACGTGCCCGAGATGTGAGTTTTCCTTTTTGTGACTGAAATTAGAATGATTCTTTGTAAGTTTGAGTTGAAATTAGAATGATTCTTTGTAAGTTTGAGTTAATTATCAGTTGCAATGGACATTCTAGCTTTCATCCAAGGCAACATTCTGGACCTTCTTGAAATGGAATATCTAATTTAAAACAATTTGATTTTCTTTCATCTTTTGCAGGAAACCTTCTTGTCTAGTATGAGAACTTTGCAGCCTGAACTTTGCATAACAGCAGCATATGGGAATATATTACCTAACAAGTTTCTGAATATTCCACCATTAGGTTAGTCAATGGTACTTTTGCTAACAAAACTTGGAGTTTTATTATTTGTTGCTTCAACCTAGACAATACCTTTTGTAACTATAGATAGCCTTGAGTTATTGTTCTAATTTCAATTTGACTCCGTTAGAAGGAATTTTAATACTTTGCGGAAAAAGTATAAATTTCTTCTGGAGTTTATGAGGCAATTTATTGAGTTAGTAAATAGTTATATTAATTGTCTTGAAGTTTCAATGTGCTTTCTCAGGGACAGTTAATATACATCCAAGTTTACTTCCATTATATCGTGGTGCTGCTCCTGTTCAAAGAGCATTGCAGGTTCTTCCTTTTTATGTATCTCATTATAGTTCTTCACTTCTTTGGATGTTTATGTAATTTCCCCATGACATACAATCACATTCAGTCTATGCAATAGGATGGTGTTAAAGAAACTGGAGTATCATTAGCATTCACTGTGCGTGCTCTAGATGCTGGACCTGTCATTGCTTGTGAAAGATTAAAAGTTGATGATGAGATTAAGGTAAGGAGAAACGTTTCCTGTAATTACAACAATGATAATGGCTCTTATAATCTATGAGATCAGCATTCTTCATTTTTGTGAAAACTTTAGCTGTCTTTTTGGCCAACACTAAAACTTTAGCTTGATGAGTCAAAAAGATGTCTAAAGACCAATTACTGATTTGCAAACAAGGTTTATGTTAGTAGGCAAATTGTACTTCCATGTAGAGCCCTTTTCATCAGATGCATACTTTAAATTTTTAGTTTTTTCTGTGGTTTACTTTTTCTTTTCATTTTACCTTTTTTCTGCTCTTGTATTTGATGTGGCATTGTAACTCGTGTTTTCTGACACTGGCATGCATGCACAGACTTAATCATGCATGCACATCTGCTGAGTAGTAGTATGCCTCCAACTCCAATTTTGCTTAAATAGTTTATGTTTACAATCACATTTATTAGCATACAGCCTCCCTATTTTATTAATCTTTTCCTTAAAGGAAAAATATTTTTCTTAATTATTAGGTTAACTACTTTATTACTTTTGACTTGCAGGCACCAGAACTACTTGCATTACTTTTTTCTCAAGGTGCGTTCTTTTTCCTACTCATTTTTTACAATATTAATCATTTTGCTGATCTATGTAGGCATATCCCTTTTTTGGTTCAGTTACTTTCTCCTTTCCATTTCTTCTTTTGTGTTTGTGATGCTTTCTTTAATTACACAGGTTCTAAACTTCTAATTCGTGAGCTTCCCTCCATTTTTAATGGATCAGCCAAGGAAAAAGCAGAACCTCAAGATGATTCTAAAGCTACCTTAGCTCCGAAGGTAAACCATGATTTTTTTCTTCATGTTGTAGTGGAAGAGGTACTGGAAAAGAATGGATTTATTTTTAATTCGTTCACTATGTCCCAGGTTTGTTTTAAAGAACTATTTTGAGGTTTCCTGGAATCAATCTATGAACATTCAAGCATATTTATCCTTGACCTTTGTTAAGTGGTGGTAATATCACACATCGGTTGAGTGTTGGGGTTTGTTATACCTCTTCCAATTAGTTTTAAGGTTGGATTCCTTAACATTTTCTAAAGCATAAGTTTTTAATTTCTCTGCTAATTGCTTATCATCCCTGTCTTCAATTTCATTAATTTCCCATGTGAGAGGCCTGTTTTCTCCTTTGATGTATGGTGGGCCAGTTTCCCATGTACTTGTTCTAAGTTTTGCTTGCAACAGATTTATTACTGAAGCATGTTATCATTAGTGAACTTGGACACTTCTTTTTTTCTTTTTTTCTTTTTTTTTTTGCAAATTTAATATTTCCCTGTTTTAAGCAGATAACTCCTGAAGAGTCATGGTTACCATTTGATCAAGAAGCTTCAGTCCTACATAATAAGGTACGTTATCTCCCTAGTCCTTGGACTCTCGCTATGCAGTCATGACAAGCAACCTCTTTAGGTTTGTGCATTTGCAGGATGGCCAGGAACCCGAGCTAAAGTTATAGTTATTGATGATAAAAATAGCAGCTGCAATATCTTAGAACTCAAAATAGTCACAACTAGAGTATGCTCTGATGGCAATATTCATCGCAATGAAGCAGATGACATTGTTTTTATGGAAGGTGCTTTGGTATTCCCCTGTGGAGGGTGCACAGAGCTTGAGGTATGCCAAAATTTCATTTTCTGTAGCTTTTCAGGGAATGGTTCACACGTGTTCAGCAAAGTTGCATCGTCTTATGTTTATGACAACATATTGTCTACTTAAAAGTTTATTGAGATACCAAATTCTGTCATAAATGTAGAGAATTGAAGTATTGAGAAACATTTGTTCCTCCTCCACAAGCTGAGGTTGATACTGAACACTCTAACATGCAATTTCAAAGCATATACCGTACTAGTTCTTTGAACCTTACAGATTATAGAATCATTTGTTTCACTTGATTTTTTCTTTCTTCTTTAATGATTTCTTTTGAATGGGGGGGAAAAAGGTCACAAACAAGTATATGTATATCTTCTTGCTAGAGCCTAAAATGTCAATTATCCTGAACATTCACTGATTCAATAGGTATTGGAGGTTCAGCTTCCTGGTAAGAAGGTGGTGAGTGCAGCGGCCTTCTGGAATGGATTGCGAGGTCAAAAGCTGAAGACTATGACAATGGAGACATCTCATATGACAGCATGAAATGTTGATCACGTCTAAATTGATGATATTCCCTTTTTGTCACCTAGAAATGCTTGTATTTCCATGCACCATACATGCATTTGCTCGCTTAGCCGTTCATCCTTGCTCTAGGTAAATTTGTAACCCTACCAAAGAATGAATGATTGATCATGTATCAGTTGAAACTCGAACATGGCAACCAATGTTAGATCTCATGACTCTACAAACCGTGATCTCTGTTAACCAAAATTGGTATTATTCTGATCTATCCAATGGCCAAAACTACTTTATCAAAAAAAAAAAGAACCTTTTTCCTTTAATATGACCACATAAATGGAAGATGCTCTTCTTAGACATTCCTGTGATGCTCTTGAACTTCTTTCGTCTCCTTCATGATGAAGACACCGCCCTTGGTTCATGTTTCTAATTTACAGTGCAAATTACAAACTTAATTAACAAGTAAGATGAGTACCTGATCATGACTATTAAATTACTCTCATACATTAATGGGAAATGTCATTTATCATTGGCATGTCCTAACTTCTCTATAAGCTGCCTTTTAAGAGATATTTAGTGATTCAAAGTTTGAGTTTTCATGTTCTTAAAAAAGAGTGTTTTTTTTTTTTTTTTTTTAATGAAATGTCCTAACTTCTTCATGTGCTTAAAAATTACAATTTTACTTTATTTTTTGCCAAGATGGCAAGCTTTTAAGGACATAAATTGAAAGGTTTTTCGCTTTTCCTTTATTGCAAACTTGCAACAAAAAGAAATAACAATTTTAAGGATGGTTTATAGGGTAATTGACTAAACTATTAGTTAAAAAAACAAGATTTTTCATTTATATGGTTAATATTCGAATTCTTATATTTTCCCTCTTCACTTTTTTTAATAAGGGTTTTAACTAATTAATTTATTTTATCAATAAATACAGAACTATAATAATTTTTAATCTTTTTAATGACCTATACACATAGAAAATAGATTATTTAAATTAAATATCTTAAACTTTCATTCCAATAAAATGAGACCATCACTGGACCACTTAAAAGCTTCATAAACGGCAGTCAACAAAGAAGTGAGGACATTGGATACATGTCAAATATATGGTGGTACCTGATTCCCTGAAATTGTTAAAATTTAGGCAGAGAGAGCATCTGAAAAAAGTGCAATTGGTCATTCTTTTTTGCTTTCCTAAAGTAATTTAGCTAGTTTATAGAAAATTCGTCATTTTTATTTATTAATTAAATGGTTAAATATAGAAAAGTAATAGAAAAAAAAATGCAAAAGTGGGATGGGGTTGATCAGGATGCCATCACGGTACAGTACACAAATGTCGGAGATTAGTTTAGGGCAATTAGTGAGGAGAACTGTACTTGGAATATTATTAAAATATTTAAAATGAAAATTAATGTACTTTATCATATGCATATATGGATATAGTAAAGCTCAAGCAACAAAAAAAAAAAAAGTTAATTGTTATTTTTAATCCTTTAATTTTAAAATTTTATATATTTTTAACTCTTAACTTTGAAAAATACAAAATTTTTATTATTTCATCAGTTAATAAGTAAAGTTTATCCAAATATACATGTTTTTAATCTTTAAATTTATAACATATATATTTTTAGGTATTGATTTTATAAGTTTAGGAAATAAAAATGTGTAAACATGAATATACTTAACGAAATAACTAATAGAGAAACAAAAAAAAAATTAAGTTGAGAAATTAAAAAAGTACCTAAAATAGTTTAGGTATAAAAATTATACAAAATCATAAAGTTAAGGAATTAAAATTCACATTTAACCTATAAAAAGCATATGCTATTGGTTCTTCCTTTTTCAATCCTCTTCTCACTCATTTTGTATTATATTTGGTTTAAAAAAATAAAGAAAATAGAAGGAGAGAAATGAGTTTTTTAATTAATTAAATTATAATTTTTTTAAATATTACAGTTTAATTATTAAAAAAATCATTATCTCACATCCCTTTCTCTCAATTCAAACATATTCTTAAAATTTAAATTTAAAACTTTTAATATCCAAACTCAAACTCTAGTTACCGGGAGATCTCTGAAAGAACAGTAAATGACGTATATTATTTTTGCTAATTATTTTAATAAAATAAATTTAGAAAGTAAAGCCACACTCAGAACAAAATTCAAAGTTAAAACATATTTCTAGACACAAAATATAGAAATGAACATATATATAGACACAACATTTTCTAATTAATTATTAATAACACCATTATCTTTTCTGTAAATGTTTTCAAAGCCACAACCTTTTATTTATTTTAAAGACAACTTTTATTTATTAATTTTTAATTTGTTTTTGGTATATAAATGCCATTCAATCCCAAATCTCTGTCTCTGTGACTTTGTGCTAGAGAGAACAGCAAAAATGGGAGCTCTTGATTACCTCTACTACTTTTGTAACGTCACCACAGTCAGACACAAACGCAAGTCAATGCAGGTTTTGTAGTACTCTTTTCATTCAGTGCTTCCTTTTTTCTTTTTTTTTTTCTTTTTTTTGGCTATTTATAAATGTTTTCTAAAGCTGTTTGTTGTTCTTTCAGACGGTTGAGATTAAGGTGAAGATAGATTGTGATGGTTGTGAAAGACGAGTCAAGAATGCTGTTCGAAACATGAAAGGTTCTGTAATGAAAACAACTAGATATGTATGATTTTATCAAATTTATTTTACAATTTGAAGATCTTATTAATTTTATTTTTTTTATCCAAGCAGGTGTGAAGAATGTTGAGGTGAACAGAAAGCTGAGCAGGGTAACAGTTAGTGGTTATGTTGATCCGAACAGGGTGTTAAAGAGGGTGAAGAGTACAGGCAAGAGGGCAGCTGAGTTTTGGCCATATATCCCACAGCACATAGTTCACTATCCTCATGCGTCGGGTGTCTACGACAAAAGGGCGCCGGCCGGATTCGTTCGGAACGTCGTACAAGGTTTTCCGGCAGCCTCCGATGCACCTGAAGAAAATGTTATTTCCTACTTCAGTGATGATAATGTGAATGCATGCTCCGTCATGTAAGGAATAGATTCACTTTGGGGAAATTGTTTTTTTTTTTTTAAACAAAAAAAATAAAAAAACCAATATGTATGAACACTTTGTCGCCTTATTCATATTTTGAAGTTTTCATTGAAACTTCTTAATTAAGGCTTGAAAAATAGGGAAGAAAGAGGTATAAATAAGATTGTAACCTCAGTGCTTTGAGCCAAGGTTAAAGGTGCCGTTGTTGTAATACGCACCTTTTTAACATTTACTCCCTCTGTTTTACATTACCTGTTGTTGCGTAAATAACTGACGTTTTAGGATATCATTGTTATATTAATTTTTTTTTCAAATTTACCCTTTTTTTGTAAAATGTACTCTTTCACTTCACTGATTCATCTGTCCTTTTTTTCTTATTTCTATCAAAAGAGTAAAATAGTATTTTAAGTTTATATATCCCTAAAATTAAAAATAATAAATTGCTTTCTTAATTAATGTGTAAAACCTTAAAACGACAGATAATGTGAAACAGATGGAGTAATTAACTTGAGTTTTTTTTTTTTTATTTTTAATCTTCATTTTATAAGTTGGCTAGTGTAACACATGCACATGGGGCAAGTCCTTGGCTGTCTTAATGGCATGCATTCTTTACAAATTTTCAACGATCAATCCCTCACTTCTAGCACTTGGCTCGTGTGGCCCAGTGGTTAAAGTCATTGAAACGTGCACATTCTCCTCCTCTGGCGGGTTTCGAACCCGCCCCATGATAAAACTGTTAAAAAAGAAAAAAAAAAAAATCCCTCACTTCTAATTGCTTTAATTTTACCGGGCCGACGGAAATAATTGCATCCATTATCATGTGATGGTGGTGATAGTAGACTAGTAAGCATTCCTAGATAAATACAATCATTATTTTATTTCATAAAAAAACAAACCTCAAAATATTCAAACATTATCTTTTCAAACTAGTAAATGTATAATAATTAACACATTTTATCAAATAAAAAAGCTATTATAATTATTGTTACATAGTCATAAAATTATTATAAAATAAAATTATGAATCTCATATCTTATAGTTTGTATAACAAAACACTTTATATAATATATATATATATATATATAGATATATAAAGTTATACATGCTTGAATCATTTTTCTATCAATTACTTGCTTTATTGAGTTAATCATCACTATATTTTGTTTATTTGTTACTTTGTTTCGCAAAGTATTGCCTTTTACGTGCCAGGAAAGTATTGTAAACAAATTATGGATGCTGATTGGCTTACATTCGGTTTGTCACCCTACTTTACACACTTATTAAAAAGGTAAAATTCCAAGGTTTGAAATTAGAAAAGGGAATAGCTTAAACTTGTTTCCATTTATACTGCATTTATTTATTTCTTTTTTCAATCATACTGACACTGCAAGCTATGATAAACTGTTGGTTGGTTCTAGAAATTTGGTCAAGTTCCGAGTCTTTAGACTTGAAATTCCAGAATCCGACATAGTAAAAAAATCAACACAAAAAATCCACATAATCAAGAAATATGCCAATAGCACATAGTTTCATATTTTTAGTCAAATGAGGGAAGTTTACTAGTTTCTGATTGAATGTCTAGACAATCTGGTGGACTCACCAAAATCTACCATAATTCCAGCAACTTACAACAAATCAGAAAAAAGAAAAATAAAATCAAAAATTTTGCTAAGGCTACCCATATTCAATTTCTAGCCAAGATGGAGGAAATCCTAGGTTGAGTTGGTCCCCCAACGACTTTAATCATAATTTCAACTAACAAATCACAAAATTCACAATAAACAACAATTACGGAGCAATAAAAAATCATACAATGACAAGTACATCAACACCAAAAAACCTAGATCTAGGATGAAATCAACAATTAATTTCAATATTTGTATTGAAATTACATAATATTAGTTAGAAAGAACAGAGGAAAATTGTTACCTAAAACTTAGGACTTCCCTCTCCTATCCATGAGCTCCCTGCTCTTCTTCTTCCCTTTCTAAACCCTAGAATTGAGGAGAAAGCACCCAAGAGATACAAGAAAGAAAACCACCCAAAACCATCCTAGATATCTAGACCCCTTGAATTCAAAGAACCCATTTCTGTCATTTTGTTTTGCCACTAGCTTTCTCCCTCAAAACCCAAATCTAAAACCTCTTCCTACCATTTTGTTTTTCCATCAGCCCAAAACCCAAGCCTCTTTCTCTCTATATCTAAGTTGAATGTAGAGAGGATTTCAAAATTAGGGATTAGAACCTCTCAACAGCTCTTGTTCCTTTATGAGGTCCTATCAAGATAGGTAGGCCCTAGCCTTTCCTTTCCCCTAGATCACTGGGATTTTGCTTTCCTTATCTATGTGCGCATTGCGTCAACATTGGTGAAAAAGAAGTTAGCTTTATTGAAGAAGAAGGGACAAGCCAAGCTATGTTTCTTCCGCATCTGCATTGAGGATGGGTAAAGCCCACTGGAAGTAGTAGGGAGTACTGAACAATGAGGGGGATAAGGGCTTTAGCCCATGGGTTGAACCACAACATAGGCTAAAGTCCTTCCACCAAGGGAGAAGGCAGCATCCTCGTTGTCGAACTAATTCAATAGGATTATTCTAGACAAGCTAGTAAGGGATAAGCTAACTTGTGAGAAGAAAATGTATTTTAATAAATGAACCACCATTGTGTGACTGGGTGTGTGGGTGATGTAGGTTGATGAGTCAGCAATGGTGATGATGTGGAGGGTCCTTTTGGTGGCACCCATTTCACATGCAAGAGGCTACGTGCCACGGGCCGTCTCGTTTTGGCCAGCAATGTTGGTTAACAACAAATTCCTCAGCAAAGTCTAAAGGTGTAAGTTTTCCAACCAAGCCAAGAGGGAGAGCTGGTAGTGATGATAGAGTTCCAAGATGTCCAGCAATGTTAGTCAGTAGCAAATTCCCCAATAAAGTCTAGAAGTAGAGTTTCTCCAATGAAGACCTGGAGTAGAGTTTCTCCAGCAAAATTCAGAAATAGAGCTTCTTTGGCGAAATTTGGGAATAGAGTGTGCCTAGCCAAGCTAGAAAAAGTGGGGTGATGATGGCGCTCCCAAGATAATGAGAATGATTACACACCTACCAAAAATAATGAAAATGAAATGTACATTGTTGTAGGAGCAGCAAGGATAGAAAATATATAATGGTTAAAAATTACAACTTGAGAAGCACATTTTTACATAGTATATTGTAGAACCATAGCAAAAACAATGAATATGCACTCTATTATCCTTGACAAATACTCCTACTCTATAATGAGCAACCTTCACGTTATAGATAAAAAGCATAATGTTCTGCTTCAAGCTTTATCAAGACAAAAGGAATAAACTTGAAAGTAGTGATGGGAGAAGGAAGGATGACCATTGTAGGGGCTTGTGAATGGAGGGCTTGATCCTGTTTTTGATGCTAACTCTTTAGTTTAATCCTTTAATGTTCAAGAAGATAACCTAGAAATTGAAGCTGGAGCATGCTATCTCCCAACCATGATATTTTGCAAGTGTGGAAAGTATTCTGCCATTTTTTATGCTAACTCTTCAGCTTGATCCTTTAATGTTCAAGAAGATAACCTAGAAATTGAAGCTGCAGCATGCTGTCTCCCAGCCATGATATTTTGCAAGTCTGAAAAATATTCTATAGTGCTAAAAGTGCTGAAAATATGAAGAAAATGATTATTCTTGAGTGATTTCGGTGTGTAGAGTGAATGGGTGAGGATGAAGGATTTTTTAGAGGAAAAATGGAGGTTTGGTACGTGAGAGGGAAGTTGAAGTTGTGAAAAATCTAGTCTGTTCTACTGAAAAATGAAGGAAAAATAATATATACAGGCACAGTGGCATTTTTTTAATTTCTGGTTGATGGGTCAGAAGTGTATAAGTGGGTTTGGGTGAATTGTCAAGCTTTTAATGGCTCTGGGCACTGTTGGTAGCTTTATGGCAGTGGCATCATGAATTGCTCAGTAGTTCCAGCAAAGCTTCATTGGTTCTGGCAAAGGACTAGAAATTGAATATTTCTTGTAATTCCTCCAGCCATATGAAATTCCATTTTTGGGGAGTTGCTTGAGTGCAGTCGGCAAAATCAAATCTGGCCAAGATTTTGGTAGATTCCCAAGAGCTGCCCAGGATTTTGGAAGATTCCCCAAGCAAAATGTGATCATTTCAACAGTTTCCCATGCACCGTAACTTGTGCAGCCAACCTTTACATTGAATACAACTGCAAGTTACTGATGGTGACCAAGACAACATCTTTGGTTGGTTTTGAATGGGATTTTAAGCTTCTAGTTAGCATCAAACGGTACTGTTTTGGAGATTAAATATGCCTCCATGTCTTTGCCAACTAGCCCTTTCTAGCAAAGTCAAGTAACATTGCCAGGGCCAAGCTTTGTTGGTGTGAATACCTTGTTTCGCCAGACAGGCAACGTTCACCTGTCCATGCCTACCAAACCACTACTCTCATAGTTTATCCCGAATATTCCCATGAGCTTGGATTCATGGGTTTATTGATGACTTGCATAAAGGGATAATCATCAGTTGATGAAAATAATGAAATTTAATAAATAAGAAAATAATAAAGGAAAGAGACTCTCTTATATATTTTTGATGATGCAACCATGTACTGCAGCATTAGATATCGCTGGGTCTAGCCATGTATCACAGTATCAGATATTGTTGGGCCTAACCATGTATTACAGCATCATATATTGTTGGGCCTTTTGTTAACTGTGTGTTGAAGGCGTTAAAGGGTGCTTAGATCAAGTGGGTCTTGGTGATGTGGAAACTATCGAGTCTAAATTTGACCTTTTACAGAAACATTCATCAACAATCTTTTGTCATTTATAATTTAAAGGGGGAAAAAGACATGAATCGACCCACTAATGGAAAAGATGAAGTGTATTTAACTTTTTTTCTTTTTTTGTCGGCATGAAGTGTATTTAATTAAAAGATGGGATATCATATCAATTAAAGAAATTTTTTTTTTTTTTTTTTGGGATTCTGTATGTATCTAACAAAGATATGCAATTAAATTGTAATTTATATTTTGTCACCAACTAAATGGGAGAAAATGTATAATTCCTTTTGACAAAGGCCAAGGTGGCGAAATTCCAATCCCTTGGCTTACATCCAACGACAGTTGTGATCTATTACTTGATTTTAAGGTCAATATACCTACAAAAGAAACACAGAATTTTGGGTTGTTGGGATTATTACTTTTGCACATAATTAGAACACCATAATTAGTCATAATCCATTATATTAGCTTCAACATGCAATATAGAGATTACTCCATTTAGCCTTAAACTAATTAAACAAAGCGATTTCGATCTTAACCATGTTGAATAGAGAATGGTTTGATATTGAGATAATATAATTTTTATCATAAATTCTCTAGTTTTGATATAAATAATTGTTATAACAATTTAGTTAAACTACATAAGAATTAATTTTTTTTTTTTGTTTTTTGGTTTTTGGGTTGCCTCAGAGACTAGAGGGTGCCCATCTAATTACAAAATTATTTCATTTGACGTTCAAAATCATATCATATGTTGTTTACACCTTAAATAAACCAATAGGGTAAGGCCACGTGTCAAGGTAAAGCCCAATCATCAAGAAAATCAATAGGCTGGATTTGGGCTGGGCTGGCTTACAATTTAATGGCCCAGACGGATTTCCAAGGAGGTTGGATCTTAGGTGGCAGAAGATAAGATTGGATCTGGTAGTTTGAGTTTGATTTAAAATGGGAAATTGAGGATTTTTAGGTAGTTATTTTTAAAGTTGTTGGAGATAAGGTTAAATAAAAATTGGATAACTATTAAATAACTGCCAGACCTGCAATCCCATTACCAGATCATGGAGGAACAGTGCCGAAAATGGAGGAACAGTACTGAAGATCATGGAGAAGATCATGGAAGAGGTTACCAGCATCGAAGGGAACAAAAACAGAGAGAAGAGAACAGTTCAAGGCCTGCCCAACACACACACAGACTGCCTAGAGTACGTTTTTCAGCTTTCAGACTGCATTTTCCAGATTTCAGCAATAGTTTCTAGATTTTCTAGATTTTCCAGATTAGTTCATAGCCTTAGCCTAGGTTTGATCATCTTTGTTCATATTTCCTTCCACAAATTCCAGTTTAGATTTACTTTTAAGTATTTGGAAGCAACTTAGCCTTCAAAACAGGTCTGCCCTTTTGATTCGGTTAGTTCTTCTTCTTTTTATGGATTTAATTATGTTATTCGTTCATGTAAATAGGTTGAATGTTTTCTACCTTTGTTCTTTTGTTTCTGCACAATATCCAAACATTCAGTTTATTTAATTTCAATTTCCAGATTTTATTTTATAAGTTTCAAACTTTAATCATTTCATAGTTTCTTCTTTAGTTTTAGTTATCATTATAGGCTGCGTAGTTGAAATCATTGTCTGTTATTTTACTTTTTCTGTTGTCTGCGAATTTAATCTTCATGGCATGTTATTTTCTGTTCTTTTCTTCATGTTAGTTTAATTGCTTTAGGATATTGCATTTATTTTAGGATTTGTAGCTTTTATTACACTTGTTTGGTTGTGAAGTCCTTGGAAGTTTCCAAGGCAATTAGTAACCCATTTTGCAGAACTCTACCCTCTGTTTTGCAACATCGTCTGGAGCGCAACTTATTTCACAGACGTTCTTTCCAGCCATCTCATTGGAGGTCGACCGCTGGAAAGGAGAAGGGTCGTCTGGAAAATCCTATTTTCTTGTTTTTAAACAAAGCAAGTGGCACGCCTAATAACCAAACTCACGTGGTAAAGGCCGGCTGAGGATTTTTGAGGAAACATATGTATTCTTGAATCTCACTAGAGATTTCAAAGCAAGTTTCATGGGTTATAATTGAACGGAGCTAAACAGCCTGCTTTGTGATGTCTATATATTCCCTGAGCAATTTTGATCCCTAGACCATATTTTGCTTTTGGACAGATTGAAAGTGGCATCCGGAATAAAGCATACTAACCTTGTAAAGGAAGTAATCATAGCCTTTAAATTCTTTAGTCTTTATGCCAATAAAACAGAAGTCCCTCAATGGTATTTTCAATCTTTTAACTTCACTTTATGTTTCTCAAACCATCTTACCTTTACGAGACAATTATATTCCCTATCTCACTAAAATGTAAAAGTAGAAGGAATACTAATATTGAGAATCATAAACATTGTACTTCAGCTTTTAAATTCAAGATGACGTTGTAATGCTATTGAGTCAGTTTTTCTATTTTCGCATTAGAATTGAAAGTGATATCAGTTTTGGGCCTAAGATTGTTATGAATTTATGAAAACGCAAACTCAAATTTACTCACAGCCCAAGGTTGAGTATCAAACAGGAAACAGGATTCTCTCAACTTAAATGGACACCGAGGGAGGAACAAGAAACCGTTAGTAATTCAGAGAAAATGGGCCCAAAAATGACAAATGTGGTAGGATTCTTTTATAGGCCCATGGCAATCAGTCTAAACTTCATTGTTGATTCAGGCTAAGCTTCCAGGTTAGATTGTATAACGGAAACTAAGAAAGCCCAGAGCTAATAAAAACGTGGTGTTTTCTGAGAGAAGAATTATCAGGCCATCATAGGGAACACTGTTTCTGCAATACAAAACGAGTAAATATACCTATGTATACACTATATTGATGAGTCTAATGGCTTCAGGAAAATCTTAAATAATAATAATAATAATAATAAAAGGAATTACTGGGAAGCTAATATGTGCATGGATTTCCTAGGTCAAACTTCTTCAACAATCAAGTGGCAGCAACTAAGTTGAGAAGCCGATATTATATCCTGTACCAACTTCACCCATTGAAAGACACCATTTGATAGTTGACAATGTCTCACTGTCATGGAAATTCATCTTCATTGGTTCTGCACTCTGCACTCTCACAAGAAAATTTTTTACTCCAAGAGTCTGGGAAGAATGGGCACATGGCTTCTGCCTTTGGTCCTCTAAGTGTCAACAAGTGTCTACTCACACTTTTCAGACTGTCTTCCCCTGGAATCCTCTCCCTCATTTGCTATTCAACTTTGTGTATAAGTTACCAATCTTCCCAAGTGGGTTCCTAAGAAAGGAAAAGAGAACACCTTGGACAGAAAAGGCTCTTCCTCCTCTGATAGCTGCACATATGAATTGTTCAAGATGTCAAGCATTGGATATGAACTCCAAAAGATTGAGGTCCCTCCATTCCTATCCACTTTCCCACTTTCCTTTTGTTCCTCTGTTGTCTCCTCTGATATGCTGCTGTTTCCATTAACGAAAGTTTTACTTGGCCTTTATTTGCCTCTTTTGAACTGTGTCTCGGGCTTTGATCCTTCTTCCGCAGACGCATTTGCTGAAAGTACATGTTGATTGTCAAGGTTGCCAGCAGAAAGTCAGGAAACTGCTCAAGAAAATTGAAGGTGCTGATTTATTTACCCATTTCCTTGCCCTTTTCAATGTTCTGTTCGTTCTACTCTGATAACTCTCAGTATGGGTTTTGGTTCAGGTGTTTACTCTGTGAAGATAGATGCAGACCACCAGCTGGTCATAGTCACAGGAATAGTTAATCCTCTGACCTGAGTCAAGAAGTTGGTAAAATCGTGTAAATATGCAGAGATTTGGTCCCCAAGCTCAAATCAGAAACTGAATGAAGAATAGCCAAAGTTTGTCAAAGATGACACTAACAGTAACCAAATGCTGTACATTAAGAATGAGGAAGTGCGCCCCACCTTTGGCAGCTAAGTTGGAGATGTGTGGAGTCTTGAGAACCATCTCAATGAGCATGTTGGGACGAACCCTGCAATAGGTAAGACCGGTCAGAATCTGATAGAGGAAGGTAATTTCATGTACATGAAACAAGATGGGGAAACATTTGTGCATGAAGGCAAAGTCATACCCCTGAGTAGTCCTACAAGGTTTCTAGGAAATGGAGCTGGTCCTGTTGGCTTTGTTGGACAGCAATTTGGTGTGTTTCACAGCATTCCTTCCTCCAGGTTACCAAGTTATGGCTATAATCATCTACCACCGATTATGAAGACCAACATGCACCAAGGATACCACCATTTTTGTCCATCTGCGGATATGCAAATTTACTCGCAGGAGCTGGACAAACGCAGCAATAACAGTGTGATAATTAATGACAACATGAACATGCATCATCCTTACATGATGAACTACAAATCTTGCCCAATTCCTTTCAATTCACAATATCCTTACAGTTAAGTACGACAGTAGGATGGATGCAAAGTGGCGAGGCTAGCTAGTAATGTACTAGTGCATTTAGTGGCATGGGATGTCTTAATATAAGCCGTTTCTAATTTAAGAGGTTAACTGCCAGTTTATTATATAGTCTCATTTGTTTGCTAATTGTAGATTTTAATTTCCTGCTTTCTTTTTTTGACTAAATAGAAGAATACAAGGAATAGAAGACTTACCACCCAGTATATGGTTCCATAATTCTTCTTGTTACAGCAGAATGTTACAAGAAGTTGAAGCAAAGGCAGAGCCAAATCCATGATTCAACTCCATTTGCTTTTAAATTTGAGCTTGACAAGAGTATGTCATTGCTTTGCCAGAGAAAATTGGTAGTATGAATCAAAGAAACAAAGCAGATGGCTGAATATATAAATAAAGTAATAAACTGCATATTCCTTCCACTTTACTTTCAATACTACTTATTTTCTTGTGCTTCCTGTGAACCAAGTCAGCATATGAATTTAGCAGAATCTTGGCTACTTCAATTCCTCCAGAGAAAAATACCATTCCTAAATAAGTTGCTGATGTAATGGCACATAACTCATTAATATTCCTCTAGTTTCTCTTAGGCATAGAACCATTCCTGTTGAGAATACTCAAGGGTTGGCTCAATGCAAGTATCCAACTAAGCTAAGAAAATAACTCATCATGAAAAAAATAGAAACCATCAGCAACAAAACAAATAAGATACACAGAATGAAATTTGTATTGAGATGAAATACCAAAAGCAACTCTAATCTATCAAACACTTGAGAAGCTCTGTGGAATCTCATTAAAGCAAATGTAACAAAGAGCTGGACGAAGTCATAACAATACTAAGAGAACCGTGAACATAGTTGATGATCTTAGACTTAGGAGGCACACAAGACACAGCAGAAGAAATAAATAAGTGTAATCATTTTTAAAGATGAAGATATGCACTGGTATTTGGAATTACCATTACCACTTACAAAATTTTCCCAATGAAGCAGGTCATTATTTAATGCTATTCATTCATGGCATAATCACAAGGCTCAAATAATATACAGGAAACTGTTTTGATACCAAAAAGCAAAAAGGGTAAAAACAAGGTACAACTTAACGCTTTTGTGCTTTCCTGCGTCTAGACTGTGCCTTCTGCCATTTCTTTCTTGGAACTAGCTTGCTCTTCGGTTTCAATTTTAACTCGGGTGAGAACTTATAGTTTGGATCTCTCATGCGTGCTTGTATATCCTTGAAAAACTGAATATTCAATTTCTTAGGACCCCCCTGTCGAAGCTCTTCATATTCTGGTCCAGAAACAATATTTTCAAATGCTCCTATTAAAATATCTACATCACTCATGACTTCCCACACATTTGTGTAACGCCCATCTGGCCCCTTTTTTAATTTTTTCAAGGCATTCTCAACAGCAAGTTTTCTTGCTTTCTTTCCAGGGGATAACTCTTCTGGTTCATTTTCGGCTTTCAATAATTCTGAGATGGTCCGATATTTAGGTTTTTCCTCAAACTCAAACAGCTTATCTATGTACCTATCACTAGCTTCATTAGGGTATGCCTCAGTAGGAATATCATCATCATCATCACCTTCACTACCTGTCCACAAGGTCTTCTCCTCATCACTTTCAGACCATACACTTCTTAACTCATCACTATCATCAGCATCAATTAGATCTGAATGCTCCTTTGCCTTCTGTCTCACTTTACGTATCTCTCTTTCAAGACGACTTTGAGCATTTTTAAAATCTTTTTCATCCTTATCTGAATCACTGTCATCTTCACTTCCAGTCCATAGACAATCATCTTCATCCATCTCTTT